CTGCAATGAGCCTGGAAGAAAGTCATTTGATTAAGCTGTCATATGAGATTTTAAATCTTATACGGTTTCCTAGTAATATTTATGTTTTAGGATAACATGGCTCATATTAGTTAGAGCCCTGGTTAGTTTGCTTTAAGAAAAAGTAATCCAGAGGATCAAATAAGAAAATTATTTCTCTCCTATGTAATAGGACAGGGTGGTTAACACAGAGCCTCCATGGTGACCGAACCAATGCCTTTTCCAGATTCTGGAAATAACTGTACTTAAATAGCCTGGAAATTATATTCTAAGTTTTACTCAGACCTCAGGTCACACTTAGATACAAAGTAGCCTACAGAATGTCATCTGTGGCTGAATAGCACTTGCCTGGCTTAAACTCACTTGAAAAAAAACAGGTGCAAGCTGAAGTCTTCACCCTGTGTACTTCCCTCTAAGTCCAGCACCAACCCTTCCCCACACCGCGCTGCTGCCAGCTTTGGCTAACTGATCCAAGCCAGTGAGGAGAGAAAACCCACTTTCCCGGCTGAGTTAGGTTGGGATGGAAAAGAGCAAACAGGTGGTCACTGAAGCAAAGACTTTGAGAAGCAAGGTGAAGCGTGAGGACACGTGAGTCGGGGTGGGGGTAAAGGACAGCAAATGAAAGGAGCAAGGACCGCGTGCTGGGCACTATTCCCAACAAGGGCAGTCTAACTTGGCCAGACGTCCTGGGTTAAAAGAAATAAAGTCATTTTTGCACCAAAGGGATGTACCCATGTCACACAAAGAATCTCTAGGAGGTCAGAAATTTGATTCGAAGGCTGCTACACAGCCTGGAACGTCATCTAGATTACAACACTGAAGCATCCCAAGGAAGAAGCCCGCTCCAGCCTGGGTCCAACCTCTAGATGGAACCATGAACCTGAGCTTCAAAGCTGCCTCGGGAAGCTGGGCAGGGCTCCTCCACCCACTCACCCAGAACTAGCCCCCTTCAGGCTTTCCTCTTCCACCTTGAAGTTCTGACAGGCTGAGACAGGTCACTTGCCGACGCCTGGCTGCAAGGCCATCTGGGAAAGTGAGTTCCTGCTTTCCTGGAGGCCAGGACCATAAGAGTTATATCAGTCATCCACCCTTGGATTGCAAACTATCCCAAAGCATGGTAGCCATGCATTTGCCACATTATCTTGGGCCTGCTTAATTTCTCTGTGCTTTGGTTTACAGAATTATAAGGAAGGGAAAGACACAGGACTTACTTAATACTATTGTCATGAAGATAAACAGATCTGTGTGGATGGCACTTCAGATATGGAATGTGCCTTCCAGTCATAGGCTTTGCTGATGGAGAAATGAGTGGTTTAATGTGTCCTGTGACCTTGTAATGACACAGATCCACACAGACAATGTTTTTCAACATCGACAGTGACCTTAACAATCTACTTCAAGAAAACGAACTATGTGCATGAATTTTGGTCAGATATTTTCTTATACAAATTGGGCAAATTTATTTATTTACTTGTTTTATTTTTGGTACTGGGGATTGAACCCAGGGGCACTTTACCATTGATCTATATATATGCCTAACCTTTTTTTTTTTTTGAGACAGGGTCAACTTTGACTGGGGTTCGCACTAAGTTGCCTAGGCTGGCCTCAAATTGGCAACCCTCTTGCCTCTACTTTCAGAGTTACTGAGATTATTGGTGTGTACCACCCTTCCCAGCTCTGGGACAGATATTTTGAGGTGGAATGGTGGAATGGTGACCTTATGAGATTGGTGCTCATTGGAGATGTTCCTTTGAGGCAAAGTACGTGGAAAAACACTAGTTCTGCCTTTTTATCAAAACTGCAGCTGGAGAGAGCTAGTACCTGGGAACACTGATTAAATGCTCTTGGGAGAAGCCTTTGGCAGGTGCAACTCAAGGCTCAAGTGACTACCTATTGTAAACACCTCCCTTCTTCCCTTCCTACCTCCCCTCCTTCTTTTCTTGTTTGATTGGTGTAGGCTCTGGCTGCAGATTCCCTAACCATTTTTCCCCCAACCCCTAGTTGAAACCCGTAGTTGTCCTTAGAGATTATTATTTTTTAACTAAATGCACTGTATTCAACTACCCCAAAGTTGTTAACTTAATCTTTAATGTAACTTTTTTTTTATCACAACTGCAACACATTCCTTTTACAAATGTTTGAAAATCAAGTAAAAAGGAATAATTGTAACAACAAAAGATAATCTGTCACACTGTGGGTCCAGGTACATATCTGTTCATTCCTCTGGTGAGACAGAACTTTCTGTGATCTTCTGAGAAAGGAAAAGGAGAACTTATGGACCATACAGGTCTTCTGCCCACCCTGACTCTCCTGCAGGTGAAGTGACATTTGGATTCATGTGCTGGAGAGGACAGAGGAGGGAACCAGCTGAGAATAACCCACTATTTTAATGTAACAAGAGTTACCAATCAAAATATTTTCCTTCTAGACTTTTCCTTACTTTTACCATAGTTTTATATAATGGTAGCAACATCGGGGTACGATCTTGCACTCTGCTTTCTCATTTAAAATCAAGTAGATCATAAATATTTCTATATTCCATGTAATCTTCATAACTATAATATTGTTGCTGTATAATATACTTTTAAGTGGACTAGGTATAATTTTCTTGACACTTTGACTATTGTTTAAACGTTGGTTGTTTCTCATTTTTAACATTTGGCTTTAGCCTTTTAAAGAGTTGATCCAGGAGTCTATGTTTTAGACAGAAAGATAACCTGTGAGATGCCACCATCCCCCTGGGTCAACCTGTCCTGATTGCACCTCTTATCTCAGCATCAGAATTAATCATGCTCCTTTCACTTTCAAACAATATTTACAACCAGAAAGAAGTTATACAATCACTGTTATTAGCCTGTTTTCTATTGCTACAATGAAATATCTGAAGCTGGGTAATTTGTAAAGAAATGTGGTTTGTTTGGCTCACAGTTTGGGAGGCTGAAAGTACAGATAGCATGGCACCCGCTTTTCTGAGAGCTCCTCAGATGTGGCATATCATGGCAGGTAGCTCCTGGTGGAAGGAAGAAGAGACTGCATGGGAAGACAGAAAGCCAAAGAGCAGGGAGGGCCAGTACTGACCTCCCACTAGGCCCCACCTCTTACAAGTCCTAACCCTAACCCTAACCCTAAACCTCGCTGGATCTGAGGCCCAGCAGCTGGTAGGGCAGTTGATCAACAGCAAGTACAGGGCCTGGAGGCAGAGGGTCCCCATGTGCAGGTCCAGCTGAGCCTTCCTTCTGAGCACATGGCTGAGCTGGACCAGCTGCAAGGCCTCTTTGAAATTCAGTTTCTTCACCAATAAGATGAATCTGATAAAACCTGAGAGGGCTTCCATGGAAGTTAAATAATAAAACATGGAGTGACTGCTTCTCCTTCGATATCAGCTTTCAACCTTGTCTTATGCCCTTTCCTTATGTCCAATGAACTCATAGGACTTTGCAAGTAGACACTGTCATCTTCCCTCTTGCCCTACCTTAAATTACACATACACATTGCATAGGATACGGTCACAAAACAAAAAGAAAACCCCCTGAGATCAGGACACACAGACCCTGGGTCTGCTTCAGGTGAGAGTCCACTGCCCCTCAGGTCAGCTGTGTTACCACATTGCCTTCAGTCACACCATCTGAACAACAAGGGATGCACCTGTCTCCTAGTCACTCCCTCTCCTTCACCACAAGTTCAACTCTCTCCTGTTAGACATCCCCAAGAGACAGGACCCCACATTCTCTAGGCCCAAAGCAATGTTTTTTACAGTGAATTTTTCTAATGACTTGGAAAAAATGAAAATGGAAAAAGATATCAAACACAAAAAGTCAACACACTTTCCAGATGAAACTTAAGAGTCTCCCGAAATTAAAAGCCAAACCTCCTAAGAGGTGGGGGCTAGAATTTAAGCCATTTCAGTTTTAGGTTCATGATAATGTTTCCTGTGTGTCCTAGATTTCACCCTTGCACAGTGAAAGGGCCACGCACAACCTTGAATGTGCCAGAATTCTCAGGACCTTCCAGCTTCTGGGGGTCTGAACTCACTTGTCTTATTTCACCAGATTAAAAATAAGATTTTCAGCGGGTTAATGAAAGAGAGGAAAGGGAGAACCCAGAGGCTCAGGTCGAAGGCAGAACTCCCGCTCCTCCAGCGGTCATAAGGTCAGCCGCGAGTACTGCACTCCGGGGCGCAGACCCGGCTGCTCGCGCCTCCGGGGGGTCTGATGTGCTTCTCCGCAGCTGAAAACGAGCCACTGGGCACACTGCTTGACGGTCCCTTTCTCCGGAGACCTGCCACAGAACACTCAACCTCAGGCAGGAGGAGTGGAGCGGGCCAAGGAGGGGGAGTGAGTTGGCGAAACGTCCACCTTTACCGGAGTCGTGACTCCAGGGTCTGTTCTTCAGGAGGTTTGCGGCTGGCATCGCGCCCCCGGTAACCCTGATTCTTTGAAGAATCCTTATGAAAAGTGTCCCGCCGCGGGTTTCTGGCCCCGACCGCCCAAACCTGCTATGCGGGAACACTGGTCTCCATCTGAAGGAATCAATAAGCAGGTTGCTTTCGGCCCTTCCCCTCTGGGCTGCTGTAAGGAGGTTAAATGGGGCCTGCGGATCGGGCTGGGGTCCACAGCGATCCCGGATTCGGCACAGACGGACCCGTGGCCTCGGAGACCCCTTGAGCGCGCGCAGACAGTCCCCTCCCCGCGAGCCCCTCCCTCGCGGCCCCTGCGGGCTTAGGGCTGCGAGCCCACCGCGCCGCTCTCCCCGAGCCGGAGTCCGGCGGGCCGGGCGCGCACCGCTGTCTCCCCCCAGCGGCCGAGCGCGTGTCGCCGCGGGAGCCGGGCGGCGGGGGTGGCACGGCGCAGGCAAGCCCGCGGCTCCGCCCCGCGCCCCCCCCCCCGCGGCCGGCAGTGCCGCCCCCTCCGCGCCGCGCTCGCCTCAGACGGAGCAGCCGCCTCTGCAATGTCAGCAGCCGCAGCGGCGGCGGCGGCGGCGGCGACACGAGCGGCAGTGGCCCGGGCCCCGCGGTAGCCGCCAGAGCGGCACAGCCGGGCAGACGCTCACGGTCGGAGCCCACGGCCATCCCGCTGCCTCCGGGGCGCTGCGGGCGACTCTGCGCGCCCCGGCGCGGCGCTGGACTCGGGGCCAGCCGCGCTGCGGCCGCGCACAAAGGACCGTGGACACTGGGAATCCGAGGGCTGCGTCCAGGGACCGGCCCAGGGACGGCTAGCGGCGCCGCGCCTCCTCCACACCTCCCTAGGCGGCCAGAGCCAGAGCCCGAGCGGGCCCCGTCATATGACAGCGGCGACACAGCAGCCTGCGAGCCCCCGTGCCGCCCGCTCCGCTGCACCAAGGCCGCCGGCGCCTGGGGTGACCCGCGCCGCACCCCACTGAGTGGTCGCCGGTAGCCGCCGCCCCGCGACCCCCGCGTCCCGGCTCGCGGGCTCCGGGGGCAGGAGTCCAGGGAAGCCCCCAGCCGGCGCCGAGCCTAAAATGGCCACGCTGCTCCGTAAAATCGGGCTCATCCGCCTGCACAACCGGGACACGGAGGACCCCAAGCACCACCACAACCACCGCGGCGGCGGCGGCGGCCAGCAGAGCGCGTCGCTGCGCGGCAAAGGCGGCGCCAAGAGCGGCGGCCACAAGCAGCAGCAGCAGCAGCAGCAGCAGCAGCAGCACCCCGGGGGCGCGGGCGACTCGAGCCCGGGGCCCGGCAAGGGCAAGGGCAAGCGCGCAGCGGAGCTGGCCCCGCGCGACAAGCCGCCGCAGCCGGCAGCGGGGGCGGCGGGGGCAGCGGGCGCCGGGGGCCCCCGGGAGCGGGCAGCGGGCGCCAGGGCGGGGCCGGGCCCCGCGGTAGCGGCGGCGGCGGCGGCGGGCGGCAGCCTGGTGCCCGCCGGTCGCCAGCAGCACTGCACGCAGGTGCGCAGCCGGCGGCTCATGAAGGAGCTGCAGGACATCGCGCGCCTCAGCGACCGCTTCATCTCCGTGGAGCTGGTGGACGAGAGCCTCTTCGACTGGAACGTGAAGCTGCACCAGGTGGACAAGGACTCGGTGCTGTGGCAGGACATGAAGGAGACCAACACTGAGTTCATCCTGCTCAACCTCACCTTCCCCGACAACTTCCCCTTCTCGCCACCCTTCATGCGGGTGCTCAGCCCGCGCCTGGAGAACGGCTACGTGCTGGACGGCGGCGCCATCTGCATGGAGCTGCTCACGCCGCGCGGCTGGTCCAGCGCCTACACAGTGGAGGCCGTCATGCGCCAGTTCGCCGCCAGCCTGGTCAAGGGCCAGGTAAGGCCCGCGGAGAGGGGCGGGGGGCCTGGGGACATGGGGCGGCGTTGCGGCGATCCGACCCCTAGGGCCCGGTGCACCCCGCCCGGGATGGGAGACCAGGGATGGGGCCTCTGGCTACCTTGCTCCTGGCCCAGGGCTACTTGTGCCGGTCTGGCTTTCTGGATAAACCTCCCAGGGAGTTTTTCTGAATACATCTCCCCCAGGGAGGGATGCTCCTGAGCGCCTCTGCCTCTTTCCCCTGATAGATTCTTCCTTTCCCTGCGTCTCCATCCTGTCGCTTCTGTCCCCTGCCTGGCCCTGTTAGTGTCTCTGGTCTCTCTAGCTTGCCCTTTCATTCTCATTCTCATTCATTTTCTCTCTCTCTCTCTCTCTCTCTCTCTCTCTCTCCCTCCCTCCCTCCCTCCCTCCCTCCCTCCCATGTCCTCTCCCCTTTCTCTTCTATTCCTTCTTGCCCTTAACCTCTCCTGTTCTCCCCCATCTGCATACTGCCCTCCCTTCCCCTTCTCCACCCTCTAGAGTCGCCCCCGTTCTCCTTGCCCTCCCCCATTTTTCTCCCTCTCCATCCTGTCTACTCAACCCATCTTATGCCCCTGTAATCTATGAAGGTGAGAACTTCTTGTGTAGCGCGACCTAGGCATCTGTCCCAGCATATTGCCTCCTCCCTGCTCCCCCCCTCCCCCAACACAGAGGTTTCCTCCTCTGGCCTTTCTGAGAGCCAGCTGCCTGCAGGTGACCCCTCTCCACCGCTCTCTCCTTCTTAGCATCCCCTGTAAAGATGTGTTCTTGAGAAATCTCTCTAGAGAGTAGAGAGGCAGAAGTGTGGTTTGAGCCCTTCCTTAAGTGACACGGCCAGACCCCATCAAGGCAATGTCTGCAGTCCCTAGCCAGGCTCCCTTCCTGGCTGGTACCTGCTCCTTTCCAGAACCTCTGGGGTAGCCCTCCAAGTCTTGGTCTCTTTTAAACCGTTTTTTCCTTGTCCCCAGGGTGGAGGTTGGGTGTTGACAAGGCGAAAGAATTTAACTAAACTCAGAGAGGAAGGCTAAGCAGGTCACCTGAGTCTTCTCCCCTATTGCACCAGGGGACTGCTTTGTGGGAAAGAAGCCTCAGAGTGCAAGAAAGCAGAGAATGGATTTTCTGATGTGGTCCTGCCTGGCTGCAGGCAGGGGCCCTCTGGTTTTATCTTCCCAACTATATGTTCTTGAACGTGTTCAAATTCTGAGGTGTCCTCCTGAAATGATATTAAACATTATTGGATAAAATAATATTTCCCTAGGTGTCTTTTGTATTTATGGAGAATCCTTGTTTTCTTAAAAAAGACCCTGAATGACCTCCTGTGGTCTTTATACAGTCTCCTTATCAGAGGGATCAGTTCTTTCCATTGCTGCCTCTGACCCCTTTACTGCAGGGGGTTTCACACTAATCAAAAGATGCTTGTTCTGCCAATTTCACTAGAGGTGGGACCCCTGGGATTCCAAACAAATAGCATCCTAACTCCAGCAGAGAAGGTCACTTAATTCTTATCTTTTCTAGGGCCCAGGTTTTACCTATTTCTTGAATTAGGGATAGGATGGCTATAACAGCTCTAGAAAGACAGCTTTAACTGAGCAAGGCTTGATTCTTTAATGTCAAAGCATCTTCCTCATCATATAGTGGAATGTTGGGTCCACTGCAAGGTGCATGTGATTGAAAACAAGCCATTGGATCTCAGTTTATTTAGCAAGCACCATTTATATACAAGTGTAGAAAAATATTCTACATAAATGCTTTGTTGTTCATTTCACTGTACATAATCAGAATTCTTTGGACCTGTCTGTTATTGTCTTTCATTCTTTATAGGAAATATGTCTTTGAAGTCAGAGGCAGAGAATTGTAATTTTGCCCTATAGAATCACAGAGTCGAATCCTAACATTTTAGACTTGGGGGGATCTTAGACTGCAGCCTTCATTCTAGAACAGGGAAAAAAGATTTAAACAAAAAATAAAGCAGTTGTTTTTAAAAAGAGAAATATCTTAGTAGATTAAATGTTTTTTTTTTCTATTTCTACATTGATGCTATGAATATAAATTGTCTTATTGGCAACCTTAAGCTTCTCTTAAAATAGACGAGTCTTGGTGTGTACATTCACTTTCTTTGTAATCAAAATTGAGAGCCAAGCATTCAGTTTGCAAATCAGAGGCTTCAGTATTGAAAACAATTATCAACATTTTTATGTATTTGATAAAATCTTAACTGGACTCAGCTTCTCCCACCTAGCATATGTATTACATTTAAATATTGACATTTGGAATGATGTTTAAAGCTCAGCATTTTTTAAAATATCAGTGCAATTTCTTTGCATTTTCCATGCTGGTTTCAACCAACATACAGTTCTCCAAAAGAGAGTAAGGTGTGGTACTCATGAAATTGCCAAAATGCAAAGAAAGGATTGAAGAACTTGGACCATCATTTATGTTTTAGGGTTTCATGCACAGAAGGACATGATAGTGTCTCAGGTAACCTCAGTGTCAGGTGCCTTTGAGTCCCTGTGCAAATTCACTACTTGTAGGTTGTTCACTGTGCATAAAGCAATTGCCAAATTATTTCCATAGTTAAAGGTAATGTGCTTTGGGAAAGCAATCAAAATACCTGCTCAGGTGTTGAAAGCACTGGGATGCTATCAAACCAATAATTACTTTAAAAGAAAGAGTTGTAATATGGAAGTTATGTTCCTCTGTTAGTTGGGATTTCTTTTTTAGGACCCATTCTCTTAAGCTGCAAAGTTAGAAAAGGCATGTTTTCCTCTTTCCTATAGGAAAACACTTACCTTATCTCAACTCTGAATTAAATACACCCTGCTTTTATATCTTTAGAGAAACCTCAAAACAATTTTAAGATTTCATGTGTAATACTGCAAAAATATCTGCTTAGCAGCTTTGTATACAAAAGTTTAGATTTATCACATAATATGAGAAATTCAGTCATTTCATGAAGATTTTTACCTGACTGAATCTTTGCCCCACATGATCAACATCTCTTTCCTGTTGTGGTATGAATTTTGGCTGTTTTAAATTAAAGGATCGTATAAATTTCTTATGATAATTTCTCTGTAGAAGTAGTGACGCAATCCCCTCATCTGTGACTAAACCTTCTTTACTAAACAGAGGTGTTTTATTCTGTTTAGTTGAAATGAATAATCCCTAGGCCTTTAAAATGAGCTGGGAAAATGTTACAAGTATCCTCTTGGACCATCATTTGTATCTTTTATCATTTACTGAGACAAAAGATTATAATTCATAGTTTTCATGTGGGATTTTTGACATTGAAAAGTGTAAGATTTATGTCTTAAAGCTAAAGGAAACTCAGCAGACAGTGGACCCTACAGAAGTTCCAAGTCCCAAAGTACCAAGAGCGAACTGTGAACCTGGACAAGCGAGCACAGCCTGGTGGGGTCCTGGCTTCTTCTCTGAGGGTGGGACACAGATGGCAGCATGAGTGGCCGGCCACCCTGCCCTTGCAGCTGTGTGAGCAGCAGGGACCAAAAAAAGCCACTTGATTGTACACTGACTCACTGTTGTGCTTTCTCACCTGCACACCTCCTGAGTGTCCCCCTTTTAATTAATTAGACATTGCTAGCGGCAGGGAACCAGATGGCAGCTGAGTGACACTTCCTCACTCCTCCCTGTCCCTCAGAACTAACCCTACCAGCCAGGACACAGTGCTGATTACAATGGTGTCAGCACGCAGATAGCATTTCCCACTGGCTTGTGCCAAGCTCGGGGCCAGCTGAGCGTGCAGCGTGCTCAGCCTCCCTGGGTGCCCTTCTGTGGATGGTCATTGTACAGAAAGGAAATTGCAGCGCCACAGAGTCAGGCTGACTTCCTAGGGCTTGAAGTTCCTGTGCCCGGCCAGCCTCTGAAGCCCTCCAGCAGGAGCAAAAGCTACCCAGAGGGCACACTCACGCCCAGGCTCCCAGGCACCTTGCTGTTTCCAGGCAGTCCTTTGTTCATTGTGACCTGAATGACAATCACTGTATCCACAGAGAAGAGACACAGGCCAGCCATCAGCAGAAGATGCACAGAATGACCGGAGTAAAACATCCCGCGTCTTAGAGTTTGAATTAAAAATCAGTGAGGATTGCAGGGCAGTCATGTTGACTTAACAGCACTGGTTCCTGGAGTTCTATTAATAAGGAAAAGTGACAGATAACACCATCTGTCTGTGTGTGATGATGAGCAAAGGGCCGACAGCTCAGCCTTGTTCAGGGATGTTGTGCGCAGCAAGGTCGGCTTTAGCACTTTCAGTCTACACCGCAGTGTCACAGAGAACCGTGCACGTGAGCACGCACACACAGACACAAGGAAAGCCCCTTACCAGAAGGCCCTCCACGTTCAAGACCTGGAAGCAGCACTTGACCCGGGACTATGAAATCACCACATCTTCTGGTCAAGAGCAGAAGACAGTCAGCCCTCTGAGCTCCTGAAATTTGTAGGCTTCTAACCTGCTACAACTGACACAGAAGTTCTAAAGGCACTGTGTTAGTTGGCTGGAGCTGCTGTACTAAAGGACTAGAGACTGAGTGGCTTAAGTGACAGAAATTCCTTCTCTCACAGCTCTGGAGGCTGGAAATCCAAGATCCAGGTGTGAGCGGGGTGGCTTCCCTGCCTGCTCACCTGATTGTCTTTGTCCTCATCTCCTCTTCTTAGCAGGACCCCAGTCCTGTGAGGTTAGGACCACCCTCATGATTGATTAAGTTGATTTAAAGACCCCGTCTTCAAGTAAAGTCCCACTCTGGCTCCTGAGGACGGAGCACCGAGCATATGAATTGGGAGGAAGGAATCAACAGCACCAGCAGAGCATTAGCCAGGACCACATCCTGTTCCTCTAGAGTTGTTGCCGGTTTGAAAACCAAGTCCTCAGTGAAGCCTCACGCAGGTGGGGAGGCACAGGAGGCTCAGCTCACCTGCAGGTGGGAGCAGAGAAACTCAGGTGTTTAGAGGGAACTGGGGACACCTAGAGT